ATATCTCTTTGCAACTTTTAGAACTTCAAGAATGTTAGAACTAGACATGTGGACGGCAAAAAAAATGCGTTTCGGACGAAACAAATGAAAACTAAAAACATGTTCATTCGTTTCGTCAAAAGAAACTAATTCTAATGCTGTTTTGGATCCGGAGGCAACGAGCCTCCAAATTTGAAACCGCACAATAAACTGCAGAACTGCAGTTAACTGGTGCGTTGGGCCTTATTCTTCAAAGTGTCTGAGGGAAAAGCTGTTCTTGTAGGAAGACGCTAGATGTATAAGCAATGCATAGTCCTCCCTTCAGACACTTAAAAAACAAAAACAGATGCAAATACAAAAAAAAATTTAAATATTTGTGAGTGAAGTTATTTTATGACATATTGAGTAGATAACGAAATGTAGAAAATACAAAACAAAAATCCATATAGCGAAAAGCTCATTTAAATGTTAAAGAATACCCCCGAACATATACCGTATCTAAATGGGTTAAGATAGTTCATATAGATGAACATATGCAGGACTATTCACAGAAAGGTGAAGAGTTAGGAGAAGGCAGGAGAAGTGAACAATCTAGGACAAAATAGCTGATTTGGAAAAATTCTCAATTCAGCTCACTTTCCAGTTCAGCTATGTTGTCCTAGATTGTGCACTTCTCCCGACTTCTCCAAACTCTTCACCCTTTATAGCCTTGTTTATTTCTGTCTTATGATATCCCTTTTCTGGTACTCAAAGAAGCATGTACAATACATAAAAAATGTATTTATATTCTAGATATTTCACTTAGATCCTCCTAAAATATATTTAACTGTTATAAACATGTTAGCAAAGAGAAATCCCTGGCACGGGAAGAAAAAAAAAAAAATGAAAACATTGAACTGAAGGATGGATTCCTAAATGCACAGCATATTATGAGATATTAACATGTTATAAGTAAAAAACACCAGATATTGTTGATCCGGGGAATATCTGGTTGCTTTATGGGATCAGGAAGGAATGTCTTCCCCCTGTTGGAGCAAATTGAACTTTATAGATGTTTTTCTATTATTTTTCCCCTCTCTAGTTTGAACTGGATAGACCTGTGTCTTTTTCCAACCTGACAAACTCTGTAACTATATAACCCAGTGTGACCCATCTGTGCGCTCTTCCAATGTCTCTCTGTTAATATGGAGCCACCCGTTTGAGATTAGTGTAGATACTACAAGTAGCCTCTAGGGGTCAGAGCTGCAACGACAATTGGTTTGAACCGGCGTTAGCTGTAAACTAACCCTGCACACCACAAGAAAGGTAAAGAAGAACTCTGGGAATTTTTTTTTAAAGTTAAGGTTTGCAGTGGGGCTACCCCGGCGCTGCAAGGGTTAACTGCTTCTTTTTGTCTAGGGCTGAAAATAACAAAGTATACTCACCTGATCCTTGGATCCGGCTTGCTCTTAAACTGGTCTGGTAATTCCTGCTGGCTCCTAGACCGGTCCCTTGAGCCTCGCTCCCCCTATGCTGCAGCAGACTGGTCCCTGGCTCATCACATTCTATACACAGTGTATAGGACGTGACTACGCTGGGAGACATTCCATTGCTAAAGTGGAGAAGGAGACTGACATGAAGGAGTGCTGTTACAGCCAGCCAGCTCAGGGGATCAGGTGAGTATAACTTCGTTATTTTCAGCCCCAGACCGAAACGAGCGCTTAACCCTTGCAGTGCGGGGGGAAGCCCCACTGCAAGGGTTAATAAACAAAAATCCCCAGAGTTTTTCTGGGTTATAGGGTTCAGTGACCTTATTTCACTTGCAGGATGCCCTCTCTACAGCCATGGAAAGTAGAAATTGGTTACATTTGTTAAAGGTAAATGAATAAGTTTTCAATACTTTGAATTACATACTGCAAGATACGATGTATTGTGACGCCATATATTACTGGCTTGCTTGAGTTTACTGCATATCACTTCTGAATACTGTACATTATTATACAAAGCTCTCAGGTTTATAAAATGTATAACAGTTACACATGTGCTTAAAAAGTAATTGCATATTCAGTACGTCCTCAGGTAGCCTTGTTTTATGCTGTTGATTGAAACGCGAGGTTTAGAATCAGGAAGGTTAAAGAATGATGTCATAAGTATCTTGTTCTTTGATCCTTTGTATGGGCTTTTCAAATATACAAAGTATGCAATAGGAAACTTTCCAACTTTGACCACGGGGGGATCTGTAGGCTGAAGACTTCTGCGTAGGGAATCTGGCCATTTGCACAGCTGCATTCCATAAGCACAGTTGTAGGCAACCTGGGCACTCTAGCTGTGGTGGACCTCCATATTCCATCATGCCTCTGCCTTTGGGAGTCATGCCTGTGGCTGTCAGTCTTGACATTGCTCATGGGACTTGTAGTTCCAAAACAGCTGGAGTGCCGAGGTTGCCTACCCCCGCCCTATAATGGCAAACACAATTTTAGCATTTCCCTCTGTAAACAGTGGATACTTTAAGAGCAAGTACATGCATAAGAGATGGAGGAACTCCACACTGAGCATATTTCTCCATAAACCATGGAGTGGTTGCTGTCCCCAGCCAGACCTTCGGTGCTACGCAGCACCTGAGTGGGAAGGACTCCCATGCTCTGGCATAGCCATGGCAGGTTAAGAGTTTGCTCTAAAGCTAAGCTACTGTTGTTGTCATCAGCCTCAGAGCTCTTACCACCTCTCATAAGGAACCCACAGAAGGTACCCAGGGCAGGCAGGTGTCTTCACAGCAATTAATGATGCACTCAGAGGCTTTTAATAAGCTCGGCTTCCAGTCAAACTCTCAACCCGTGAAGGCTCTGCCAGGGATGGGGGAGCGAGATCTCTCTCCTGAGGGTCCCACAGTGAACTAACAGCTGGGGCTCAAACCTTGCCTCCTGCAAACCAACATGAAAAAATCCATTTGGGATGGAGCTGTCCTTGAAGGCTACAAATGATCTTTTGCAGCGGTGCGTATTTTATAAAGCTGTGAACTAAATAATTAACTAAGATGATAAAGTAGGAGATAAACCAGCATGCATTCAGAAATGGTGCTTAGCGTTATACCCTTGAAAGAGGGAATGCAGAGTATTTATTACAACTGTTTAAAAAGCACCTGTCACCCAGGCACAGTGGACGCAGCCATTTCCTATTGCAAGTGTAGCCTGTCTATTCATTAGGAGCCAGTACACAGTGATGGAGGAGCAAGTTTTGCAGGAGGGGGGCATCTGCATCTGAAGAGTACAACAATGAATAGGGGGCATGCAATGTCTCTGCCAAAGGAAAGTATTTTGATGATCACTGGAAAGATCTCAAGTCTGGAGATTTCTATGAATCAGCAGTGGCAATATCAATATAGATCTCTGATATGGTATTAATAAATTAGGCTTTTATTGTAACAGGGTAAAGTTAAAGGTGATCTGCCACCAACAGGTCATAAATCACTAGAGTGACTAGGGTGTACTGACTGGATGGGTGTCCTCGGCACAACTGCAATGTTTGTTGGACAGTAAGAGATGTTTACAGGTTAACTGACCTTGCTGCTCCTTGCTTAACTATGGGGCTCTGTGTTATATACAGTTATGCCCACTCAAAAGCTGGGGGAGAACAGGTTTTGACAGCTGTCAGATCACAGTTAAAATAATAAAGAATTAATATGTAAATTCATTAAGCTAGTTTTGGCTGGTCTTTAAGCTGTCCATACATGCCCTGTTATTGAGCAGAATAGGTCATTGATAACCATCAAGGTGATCAACTAGATTGTTGGTGGTGTTGACCAAGATGAAAGAATATATATGTGAACATTCCCCTAGTGCAGGGGTGGGCAAGCTTGGCACTCCCTTCATGCCAATGCCTCTGGGGGTCATGCCTGTGATTGCTAGAGTCTTGCAACTGCAAATTTGTACTTCCACCAGAGCTGGCGTCTCAAGGTTCCCTACATCAGCCCTGGTATCTATTGCTCCCTTAATGGGTGGGGCCACCCAAAATTGATATTACATTTTTTGAGGGGTTCCACCCTACATGCTGAATGTATGTATATTATGAAGAATGTAACATGATGTGCTGGAACATACAAAGGTGGATGGGAACACACAAAACTCCCAAGTGTAGAGGGTTAAGTGGTCCCCAAGTGGTTGGGAGTCATGGCAAGGAGATTCCATTGTTAGCGTATTTTGGACATATAAGAAGCCCACCAGGCTCCCCCAAAAACGAAACATTGATTTTGGGTTGACCGGCCTTTTAATGAACAAGACCTCTAACATGAGTACCATAGATCTTAGACACATAGGGATACTTTTCTCCAAGATAGTTCTGATCACTGTGTACAGGTCCAGGTAAACAAACCACATACTTCACTAGATCCTAAAGATCCGATAGGCAGCATTCTCCGGGAACATGGCTGGTGCCAATGTGAAAAGCTGGCAGGTGCTTTTTACCTTTTGTCTTTATAGATCTTGTGTAAAAACCCAAAGTTTGTGAAATAAATTGACAGCAGGCTGTATTATTAAGACCAACAAGCAAAATGTTAAATGGTTGATTATCATTGCAAACTGAGAGGCAGATTTATAAAAACTGGAGCAAAGGGTATGAAGCTGCAGACAGCAACTATAGCAAGCTTTCAGGAAAAAGAAATGACAGCTGAAATCTGGTTGGTTGCTGTTAGAAACACCTCCAGTTTTATAAATGTGCCCCCCCCCCCTTTGGTGTGTGCTTTGGGTCAGCAGAAAAACAGGCACCATGTTTGGAGTCAAGTTTCTGCCACCACTTTTCTAAGCATGCCGGTGATGGTTTGGTAAGGGCCCATGGACGCACTTCATGCAAGTTTTGGCATACCCATGTGCTGACCGTCAAGGTTTCAGGATCAGAAATCGCAATAGAATGGCTTCTATTGTTTCTGGTATCATTGGATGGAAGTGTATCTTGCAGACATGTCTTGGCTAAAGCCTCATGCAAGCAGGCACAAAGCAACGGGTTAGGAACGCAGAAAAGAGATTCTAACTTGCAGAGACTAAACTCACCCTTTTGAACAGTCTATGGTCCACCAGAGGGCTTTAGATAGCAAAACAATAGCAAATAGCTATTAGGCAGCTGAAAGAAAACTCACACATACAATACTTCTTCCACAGTGCATCATTTAGTGGTGGCGGGAGGTTGTAATGTTGGTCCACATTGGTAAAAACTCACAAAGACATTGAGGGACATTTATCAATTCTACCATACAGGTGTAGCTAAACAGCAGCAGTGAGACAGATGATGAGACAGATAGGAGTTCAAGCTTTAAATCGATTATACACTGGTGGAAATCCGAGCAGGGTGTGGTCCGATCGGGACCCCCAGTTCAACAAAAGTCCATTTTTCAATTGATTTTTGTTGAAGAAACCAGTCCAAAAAAATATTGGCTGAACATAGACTGCAGCCAGTTAGTCCCCCACCCACAGGGCTGAATGTGGTAAAATGGCACGTGTATGGCGAGCTTTAAAGAAGAATCCTAGGCATTTAAAAAGGTAACCCTCGCAGTGGTGCTATCCCCACAGTGCAAGGGTTAAGTGCTCATTTTGGTCTAGGGTCTATAAATAAAAAAGGTCTACTCACCTGATCCTCGATCCTACCTGCTTGCTACTGTAGACTGGCCCCCGCAGCCTCTTCACCCGCATGGGCTCCAGTGGTCTAAGGACCGCTGGCATCCTCATGTCTAATACAAGTCCACTGACTTGCATTGGACGTGAAGACGCTGAGGGACATTCCACAGCCGGAGAAGAGCGGGAGAGAGGTGAGCGGTCACCACTGTGTGACCGAGGATCAGGTGAGTGTATCTTCTTTATTCCAGCATCTAGACCAAAATAAGCACTTAACCCTTGCAGTGCGGGGGTAGCATCTGGAATGCTGAAGGTTCAGTTGGGCTTTCAGCTTCATTCATACATTTCTCCCACTGCTGCTCTAAAGTGGAATTGCAACAGAATAAAACCTGCCCCTGACCACATCTTAATTATGAGTTTCTTTAAAGTGAAAATCTGTCTCATCTACAGTGATATATCTGTCTCGGACCTGTGTACATCTGCCTATTAGCTGCCCAGGATTACAGATGCAGGCGTCGCAAACACCGTGCGTGTGTTTAGGTTAGTAAATCACCCCCATAAACTCTGTTGTATACACTCTGCAAAATCAAAGAGCCACCTGAATAATGTCAAATTGTGTCACTAATTTGCTTGTGCTTGATAAATGTCCCCCATTGTCTCCTAAGTGTTATTTTGTAATACTTGGTTACAGCAGCAAAAAAACAGACACATACATTATTTCCACCACACTTTGTCATTAAGTTGAGGTTTTATAGTGTAATGCTGTATCAAAACCACACATTATCTCTCATACCCCTTAAATGACCAGGTTTCACTCAGCAATGATGATGCAAATTAACATATACATATTAGATTACTCTCATTTTATCTTTAGTGTTTCAAGTTATCAACAAACATAGGTTTATTAAAATATAGACATGACTGATATATATTTAGCAAATGCCACCTGGTTGGTTTTAAAGGGGATGCGTTACAACATCCAGCAATTTCAACTGAGCATGTGAGGAGAAAATCCATGAGCAGAGGTTACCGTTATCGAAAACTGCACATCGAACTAGTCAGTGGATCCAGAGATATAACAATACGTCATATATTATTCGGCAGCTGAAGTTACTTGAAAATCTTGACTTCTGTTAACAGTCAAGTTTGCCTCTGCCCCCTCCTAAGTCCGTCTGCTGGCCATTTTATGCGATGGGCAACATCGCAGGCCAATAGGGAGGTAGAAGGAGCTTAATATTTAAAGAGAATTGAGATTTTCAAAGAGCTGCTTGTTCTATTGATCATTTTGGCTTTAGTTTACTTTAGTGCATGTTGTTCTTTGATTGATAATTCTCAGCAAACTATATTTTTTTCCTTTCCTTCATTTGAATTTTAGGTCCAAAACCCGGCCCTGTTCCCTATATGCTCAACAGCTACTGCAATCTCTCTGACCCATTTTAATGTGCATCAAGGGGATATATCTACAGCATTTAATGTAGAGCAATCAGCCAAGCTACCCCCTTTAAATTCCAGAAGCACCTCTCCTTTATCCTGCGATTAATCTGTCTTGTCTCTCCTCTATTGCTTTCCAGACATGGTCATTAAAACAATGACAGCCCGTCCATCCTGCGGGCACTTAGCCGAATATTCCCCTATCATTTAAATGATATGCCGCGTAGCCAGCAGTAGGTTTCCCTCTCCGATTCCTTTCCTACCATCATTCTTCTGTTTCACACCATTTGTTCAGTTTAAACCTCTCCTGTAGCTGGTCTGGTAGCCGACACATGAAGAATACCCGGAATGAACTTGTCTTTATGAACAGTTGCCGGTATTTACAGCTAGTTTATTTGGATGTAGACAGATGACTGCGCCGGCGATTTTATTTGCAAGAGCGATAGACTAAGTGGGTCAGCTCACTGAGCAGCTCATTAATAAATATTGCAGATATAGCAGTCTTCTCCTTTGAGACGTAGCCATTCGGTTCCTCAAGTGCATGAGTTGTTTTATAGCAAGCAATATTCTCCAGGGGAGGGGGTGTGCTGCAGGTAGGTGCTACCCTGGTTGGCCATAAAGGCTTTAATATAATTTGAAAAAGTGAGGTTAAAGAGACCCTGTCACTAGACAAAAAATAAGAACTTTAAGCAGCCTGTATAAGAAGATAAGTAATACGTCTCAGTCTGGAGAGTGATGGCTCCAATTGGAGAGCTATGACCACCACTTGTATCCAACACTTCCAGCTGTGTCAGACACCTGGTCCTCTGCTATGCGCTGCAGTTTCACTGGGCAGCTGCTACGCGACTAAAGTAGACAATAGTGACATGGTAAACAATGGGGGAGCAGGTATAGGTATACAGAAGTGTTGCATACCAGCGGTGGCCATGTGTCTGCCAGACAGAGAAGACTGCCAGGCTGGTAAGCAAAGCAGAATGGGACCCTAAACAGAATGGGGCCCTAGGCAAGATGGCGGTTTTGTTCCCCCCTATTACTTCAATTTGACTTGCAGGGATTGCAATAGGGCCAGAGAAGTCACCCCATTTGTATTATTTGTCCAGGCATGACCAACAGACACCCCATTTACATTGTCTGTTCTGGCATGACCACCAGACACCCCATTTACATTGTCTGTTCTGGCATGACCACCAGACACCAACAGACACCCCATTTCCGTACATTGTCTGTTCTGGTATGACCACCAGACACCAACAAACACCCCATTTACATTGTATTTTTGGACATGACCACTAACACCAACTGCCTACTAGTGCTTCCACCCTTTAGGGGACAGGTGCACTTCTTTGACCAACTGGTTTAAAGAATTGGTTTACTGCAGTGAATGAGGGTTGTACCTGGGCCCATAGGACATCTACTGGATCCTAGCTTCTTGCCTAGCTTGCCTTGTGCATGATACGACTCTACTGGTAAGTATTACTAATTTTCTTTTACAGACCGCTTGTAGTTTTCCATGTCAGCCAGACACTGGCCGCTCCATTGTGAAATATATTTATGTAAAAATAAAACCGGATAAATATATAGTATGGTTTAGAAAAATACTTTCATAATAACTTAATCGTGCTTAATGATCAATGCGTGATCACCATTGTCTGGAAGCCATCAGCCATTCTGGGCTCCTACTAAAAAAACGATTGAACAAGTTGTTCAGGAAAGAGTTAAACTGGGAAGGTGGAACATTAACATACAGGCCCGCTATGTGGGAATGACAATTACCCAGAAGCCATTTGTCCTTTTTGGAGCGGCTTTGATTACTTGTACTCAGAACCTTAACAAGGCCACTTCCACGGTGCTTCACACGCTGACCAAAGCCATCAGCCACTTGCTGCAGGGGACCATTAAATAAAAGCAGCTTTATTCCTGGCTCTGCTTTCAGTGATCAAAGCTTGTGCGATGCTTTAATAGCTAGCGGCTGGGATTTTTACCTAGCGACCTGCCTCAGAAGAGTGTCAAATATTCAAAAGCCTCTTTTTCTTTTGTCTTATTTGCAGCAAATGTTTATCAGGAGGAAATGGGTCAAGGCTCCCTACTTGTACATCAGTGAAGCCCTCAGTTCTTTCACTTCTGTAGGAGAGTTGGAGGCTGTGTAGGAGAGTTGGAGGCTGTGTAAAGTCTGAGCCCTCATCTGAAATCAGACTTGGGAGGGGATGCCGTAGTTAAATTCTCAGCATTATGAGATCTTAGATGAAGGCTTACCCGCCAAAGAGCCCCGGAATGTCACCTAGCCAAAGGCCGTTAATTGTTGAACAACCTTGCTGTAGGTAAGTGGAAACCGTTTTTTTCTGAATAAGCCTGCCAGGGAAGTCCGGCTGGTGTTGCTACTACAACTTCTGCATGGATCGCTGCACATGCTTTTGCCCCTGAATATGTGCATAGGAAGTGGTTTGGTGTTCGCATTGTGCACATACATGTGCATAATGCTAAGTGCGCTCTGGTACACTGGGCACAGAGCACATGTCTGTTCCGGCTGTTGGCACCAGATGGGCAATTTAAGGACGATGGATGCAGCTGCTGGAAGATCTTCAGCTGTATCCTGTGCTCCATTGGTCCTGTTGCTGTTATTTCGGATCTGACCCGGCATGACTCTCAACTTTGCTTCCCTGCTGCCTGCCTGCATCCTGATTTGGCTCTGCTTTCCTGCAAGGTTCTGACCCGGCTCTCTTGTGACTCCACTCCTGCCTCCTGATTCTGCACCTCGTTGCCCGCTAATTGCCGACCAGGTCTGACTCCGCTTCTGTCTTACTCTGCTACCATCTGGCCTGCTGCTGACAGTCTGGTTCTGAGGGTACCCTGCTTCCAGCTACCCGCATCGTCACTCCTGCACCAGCAGTCCTACAACAGCTACAGGCACTCGCACCTATCTCAGTTCTGTGCATTCCCTGTACCACCTCCAAGGCTGCTCTGACGAGAGCTGCAAGGGGAAGCCTCCCTCATTACTTCAGTCCGCACCAGGTACATGACAAAGCCATTCAGAGCTTACAATTTATCAAAAACTATAAGCCATAGCGACCAATCAAATCACCTTTCAACTGACCACCTAAATAGTGAAAAGCTGATTGGTGGCCATGCGTTAGTGCAGTATTTCCCTTTACATCTTCTTTACAGGCTCAAGGATGTCTGTTGTCTTTGGTATACATATGTGGATAGCCTACATTCTTAATAATACCAATCGTGGTTCATTTAACGCAAACGCTGTAACCGCTTTAAAGTCATGTGACACTAGATTGGTCGGTGGTTGGTCCAGGGGTGGCATTGCAGTAAGCACACTAGTAAGTGAGGATAGAGCTAAGAGGTGACCCCTTGCTGATGTCCACATGGAATATCCTTGTAATACTATGCCAGTAATTAGGAAAGTATATAGGAAGTGGCTAGTGCTCACTGCGTCATTTCCATACCTGTGACGGCAGCGACGTAAAAACCTCATAATCTTCCGAGCAGCTTGATCCTGTTTCTTCGTCAGAAGACTGCTTCTGGAGAACAAGAATCAGCGTATGAAAAACATAGCAGAGGATTCCAAACAAGATTTCTCAGATACATTTTACTTTGGAGTGTCCCTAACCAAAATTATGACAACCAGGATATCAGATATTTACAGAATCAATTGGCTGGGTCCATTACTTCCCAGAACTGAGATTTTTTTTATAGGAAAAAAATTAATGTTATCAGCATATTTTCTTTCCAGGTCGAATGTAATCAATTGATAAGATTAGAGTAAATCAGGAACGTATCACATCGTGGTCACTAGATGGAGCCGAGGGTCATAGGAAATAAATACTTATTCCCAATCACTCATTCAAATACTTATCCTCGGCTCCATCCAGTGGCCATAACTCGGTATTTTCCTGATCCACTCTTATGAATGGTTTACATTTGACCAAATATACTAATAACTAGGGATGCACCGATACCGGTATTTCGGTATCAAGTACCAATATTTTTTTTCCTGTACTCGCCGATACCGAATACGGAGTACCCTGAAGTCCCATTCAGGAAGACAAGTGGTGTGTATTGACTCGCCACCTGGCTTCCTCATTAGCCGTGAAACCGGGTGGCATGTAAAGACTCGACACCCGGCTTCTGGATTAGCAGGGAAGCCGTCCCCATGCTTCTCGTCACTAGGTGATGAAAAAGCATGGAGCCGGCTTTCTGGCCAATCAGGAAGCCGGGCAGCGTGTAATGACGTGCTGCCTGACTTCCTGATACCAGAACTACGAGTACTCGCCCAAATACTCAGCATCGGCACCGATACTACGGTAGTATTGGTATTGGTGCATCCCTACTAATAACATTGGTTTTCTAATATGTTTATCTAATATGATGTTTCTAATATGTAAACCTTTCCTATGTAAAGACGCAGCAACTTTCTATCCGTTTTACAACCACATGCATACCTCAGTTTCTGTTGCACGAGAGAAGTTGTCCGGCGCTTTTGCCGAATCCGGCCGCACTCTTTGTAGCTTCTGTAGTACTGCTGGATGAGCACCGCGGCACGCCGGCTCTGCTGAAATTTCTTCTGCTCATAGTAGCTTCTGAACTTGCTCTGGATGAGGATTGCAGCTTGGGTCATCTTTTTATAAAGTGCATACTGCAAAACAAAGGGGTGGTAGAGTTGGAAACATGCAAAGTGTTACATTGTTTCAATTATTTTTATTCCTTCTTTGCTGAGGATGGCCACGTAGGATTAGGACACATTATGGGGCATATTTCTACAGAGATTTAATGGTGCACTGTCACGTAATTGTTGGATTCTTTTTCTTTTCACTGTCCTGCGATGAGTTGTTCCAGCCACGAGGCAGCAAATGGTGACGTTAATGAGATCAGACTTTAAATGGGAGGAGTTGGGAATCACAGACTCAGAATTGTTGCCAACTGCTGTCAGGATGATGCAAGACTTGGGTAAGCTCTTGCATGTGTTTCCATCTTAAGTTTTTTTTTATTTGAATGGAGCGTCCATTTAAACCCTAACTAGATAACATTTGGCTCACTGAGACCCCATTCACACGGGGCGTTCTGCCATTCCTGCAGCAAGAACCTACGGATGTCCTCGTTAAGATGTGGCTGCTGTACCCATTCAAGTAAAGGACAGGGTGACAGCGGCTGCATCTGTCAGTGGCAGTCCGCATATAACCATACATGGTACGATTACATGCAGTTTGGGATAAATGATTGTCCCTGGATGCAGGATGGATGCGTCCAGCGACCTTCATCTGTCCCAAACCGCATGTAATTGTACAATAGATGAATACATGCGGACTACCGCTCACAGTATCACCCTGTCATCAACTTCAATGGGTACAGCAGCCGCATCTCAATGGTGACACCTGAGATTCCGGCCAGAGGAATCCATAAGGTTCTTGCCGTAGGAATCCCATAACGCAGCCTTCGTCCCTGTGTGAATAAAGGACGATGTATCATAAACCATGTTTTTTCTTTTTTTTATCTTTCTTTTTATTATTTTTACTTTCACCTTTATTCATTTTTTTTTACATCTCACTACTGCTAATCTTTATTAGCCTCTTTCAATCACTTCCTGTCTACATACTCCAGTGATGGCTGCACATCATTGCTCCTGATAGTGACAATAGTGGACTATGAATGTGCGATGCGTGTTGGAAGGGCCGCTTGTAGTCCCCATCAGGAGCTCAATGCAGATTGTGAGACAGTTGCCACCCCATAACAGGAAGTGCCTGAATAAGGACCTTCAAGTGTATCTAAACCCAAAAACAAAAATCCTTAGATGTGGTGGCTGCTATAGTTTTCTCTATTTAGGTTTTTTTCACCCGGTGATCTGGCCAGTAACACACTTCCTGTCTCTATGGAGGATCAATGGAGCCATCTCTGGAAAGCAGCATTGCCACACTGTGGGGAGGGTGGTGTTAGATGTTCAAGTGGATTTAGATGGACTTGACTATTAAATTCAATCTAAACTCCAGCTCAAACTTTTTTGAAGCAGTTACAGCAATAGTTTTTTTCTTTCTTTTTGGGACAAATGTTTGACATAAATGAATAAAGTATAACCATTGCAAGCGCCTCTATCAGTGTTACATGGTTTGTCTCAACCCTCTATCTGCTACTTTTGCTGGACAGCTTGGCCCGGTAAAGGAAGTTGACAAATAACAGACTTACTGGCCGGATCACCAGGTGAAAATAAAGGAAGAAAAGCATTGGTAAGCTGCAATATATTACCATTTCTGCTTTTGGGTTTAGATACACTTTCATGGCAAAGATCCTTTTAAAAGGAGAACTATGAGGTGAGTGCTTTTCACTCACCTCATAGTTCTAGCCGACCTGTGACAATGAGACTGTCACAGGTCGGCTCAGTAGATCGGGAGGTGAGCGAACACATACCGGCGCTCGCTCACTTCTCGATCCTGTCACGGCTCTCTGCAGGAGGGACTGGATTCCCCCGTCCCCGCTCCGATCGTCCAGCGCTGACTGGCGGAACGGATGGGGGAGGGGGCGGGTACAGCTGGCTCTGCCTCTAGATAGGCAGAGCCAGCTGTCACTCACGCAGATGGGCGGATCCAGACATAATTGTCGGGATCCGTTTCAGCTGCGGCGTCTCAGTATACCGCGAGCTACAGCTCTCTATATACTGAGCCTAGGGTGACGGGAGGATGCTAGTTTGTGTCCTCCCGTTACCCTTAGGAGAACTATGGGGAAAAGCCCTAACCCCATAGTTCTCCTTTAATGAAAGCTTCAGATTGATAAAAAAAAAAAGCTAAAAGCAAATTTAGAATGACAAATATGTTAAAGAATTATTTTTAGTGATTGGATCCAGATCTACTTTGGATAACACTGGTGAAAAGTATCCATTAAATGAGCTTTTACTGTACGGAGCTCATCGTGACAAACTTGGATAACTCATGTTACTAAAATATGGCTTTCGTTTACGTAATTGAGGAAATGAACAGGGGATAATAAAGATTACTATTGCCATAAATAGCCCGCTCATGAGCAGAGCATGTGACGCCGCCACCGTGCGTCCGATGTTTGCAGAGAGGTGCGCGGACTGTGCCGAGAGCCATCTGTCACTCCGCACTTGTAGCACGATCGGTGACAAGGCAAGCGTACCTATCTGTGGAAAATAGCTGGTCATCAGGAGCTATTTGTGCTAAAGGTCAGATGTAAAAATAAACCGGGAGACGAATATGAAAGAGACGGCGAGATTAACCTGGGGCTGCTGGGTGAAGGCTTCAATGAGGTGACAACATTCGACAAGCACGTCGGAGCCTCTGTGCTGCCTGCCTGATAAGGGGACTAAAACAACCAGCACATTGGTTTATATAGGGGGAGGGGGGGTGAGGGGTGCTTTATTCACATTCAGGGTTAAAGCTGAACTCCGGGCATTAAAAAAATTAACCCTTGCAGTGGGACTACCCCCATGCTGCAAGGGTTAACTGTTCATTATGTAATATTAGGAAGATACACTCACTTGATCCTTTATCCCATGGTGGAAACCGCTCACCCAGGCGCGTCCCGAGGCCGGGTGACTCCCCACAGTGACGTCATCGTGCATGCATGGCCATCTAATTGACGCCTGCCGGCGGCCATCTTGGTTATGGACGCCGGCAGAGAGAGGAGGGGACGTTCATCTGGTGGGATGAAGTATGCCGCCGGGTCCCCTCCTCTCTCCTGACACTGTCGGGCTCTTGGTCCATGACCGAGTGCCCAACTTTTTAGAGGGGGTGACACCAAAATGACTATCAGGGTGTTGTACATAGCTCAGGACCTATTACATTTTGAGCAAACCCACAGACACCAATCACTACTACACAAAACATATTAGTCTTTACCTTCAAGGCTATCCATGTAAGCTTTGGAAGAGAATGATACAAAAGGATTAGAGGAAGGATACAAACATGCAATCGCTTCATCCTTTTCATTATCTGAAGACATATTAAACAAAACACAACAATCTGGAAGCTTGATGTTGCTTGCGCAGCCATAAAGGTCTGTTAGGACTTCCAACAATACAGTGATGACCCTAACGTAATTAAGAATGTCGGCGTAAGACGGCCGTGGCCCCTGAACGCGGCTTCTCATTATTAGCAATCATTTGGCCGATCTCCGGCCTGCCATAGGAGAGAGGCGGCCTGTTGGCTTTGCTGTTTAATGACTCCAGCCCGTCGTTTTCTGCTTGATTGCTGTTTATGGCAGCCATAAAACTTTAATATCCAATCCCATTTAGCGGTTTTTATTGAATATGCAACAAAGCAAAGTGGGCCTCTGACACGTCGTGTACGGATGTTCCTCCAAATTAATTTTATCTCGGCGAGGGAGGAAAAAGAAAAACTCAGCAATGCCGACGCGGCCATCTGCAAAGTGAACCTGTCACGGCGGCAGTTTTATTGAAGCTGAGCTCCAGGTGAACAGCTTGATACACATATAAGGGGGAGGTTTACTTAACTTCATGCAGTCCTGAGATTTACGCAGCTCTGTCTCAAAGCACAGCCCCGGGGAGGTGACCTCATTTTGATCAGCTGTAGTGAAGTACCAGTCACAGGTCTTGTCCCTCCCCCACCCAGTGATTGGGCAATGAAAGGAGAAGGAGCAGGATGATGAGCTCATCACTCTGTTCTCTCCTCCTACTAGCATGTCACTTGTTGGACGACAACTAAAGGTTTATACAGAAACTTATACCTGCAATGCTACGTTGCTACCTTCATCTCCAGTACAGGTGCACTTTTCAGCAGGGAAGCTAATCACTTCCCTGCTGTGATTAGCTTCCCTGCTGAAAAGTGCACCTGTACCAGGGGCGTATCTATCACGAGGCAGACTAGGCATTTGCCTTGGGTGGCATTTTCCATGGGGGCGGCCCCAGGCAGAGGGTGAGCAGAGGGTGAGCAGAGGGTGAGCAGAGGGGACAGTGAGCGGGTACAGGTGCGATCAATGTTTGTGTGCTTATCTGCTTAGATGTCTCCGCAAGACGCTCCGTTCATGTCTCACGGTCTGATGAGGAAGCCGCAGCCGTTCACAGTGAATGAATGCAGCTTCCTCATCAGACCCTGAGACATGTGTAGTTCACTGTCAGCACGGGACATTAACCTTCTTGTCCCGATCTTCCTGTCTTGCCTCCTCTGTATGTTGCACACCCTCCCCCTTCCCCTCTGGTGCCTCAGCCCGAACAGAATGCTTCGTCCATCTAACCCAGGTGACCGTCCACCGGGCTGCCTGACGGCTTGGAGAACTGTAATAATAACAGCCGGGCACACGCAATACATCACACACCCGTCAGCCAGGTAAGAGAGCAGAGGTCAAATACAATGGTGCCACACCTCATTGATCCAACGATCCAATAAAAATGTTACAAAGGGCCAACTATGAACTATAATGTTTTTAATCAATGTTATTTTTGGATTAAAGAAAAGCAAAAAAAAAATAATAGAAGTTATTTAAAATGATTGATCAAAAAGGATCATTTAGATTGGGGGGGTGCCCAAGTTTAGTCTTGCCTAGGGCAGCACAAAACCAAAATACACCACTGACCTGTACTGGAGATGAAGGTAGCAAGGTAGCATTGCAGGTATAGGTTTCTGTATGAACCTTTAGTTGTCGTCCAACAAGAGAGAGATATGCAGAGAGAGATGCAGAGAGAGAGCTATGCAAAGAGAGAGAGAGGGAGAGAGCTATGCAGAGAGGGAGAGAGATTCAGAAGGGGGGGAGACAGAGAGAGATAGAGGGGGGTATATGCAGAGAGAGAGAGAAGGAGAGAGCAATGCAGAGAGAGGGAGAGAGCTATGCAGAGAGAGGGAGAGAGCTATGCAGAGAGAGGGAGAGAGCTATGCAGAGAGGGAGAGAGATTCAGAAGGGGGGGTATATGCAGAGAGAGAAAGAAGGAGAGAGCAATGCAGAGAGAGGGAGAGAGCTATGCAGAGAGAGGTAGAGAGCTATGCTGAGAGAAGGGGAGAGCAAATGCAGAGAGAGGGAGAGAGCTATGCAGAGAGAGGGAGAGAGCTATGCAGAGAGAGGGGGAGAGAGAGAGAGAGAGGAATGGAGAGAGAGAGATGCAGAGAGAGAGAGAGATAGATGGAGAGAGAAAGAAAGAGAGATGCAGAGAGAGAGAGAGAGAGAGAGAGAGAGAGAGAGGGAGAGAGAGAGAGAGATAGATGGAGAGAGAAAGAAAGAGAGATGTAGAGAGAGAGAGAGAGAGAGAGAGAGAGAGAGAGGGAGAGAGAGGGGGAGAGGGAGAGAGATATGGAAAGAGAGGGAGGGAGCTATGCAGAGAGAGGGAGAGAGCTATGCAGAGGGAGAGAGAGCGAGAGAGGGAGACAGAGAGAGATATGCAGAGAGAGAGATGGAGAGGGAGAGCGAGAGATATGCAGAGAGAGAGAGATGCAAAGAGAGAGAAAGAGAGATGCAGAGAGAGAGAAAGAAAGAGAATGAGAAAGACAACGTGTGGGGGAGATGTAGGCAGGGATAGATAGATAGATAGATAGAGACAGACACTATATAATCCTGACTGTACAATCTCCTGTTGCTCTGCCATCATCTGTATAGTAGAAAGCCTATGTGATTTGATACACATTGAATGGATTGTGTAGGTTTGTCCTCATATTACATTCTACAGGAGATTGTACAATCAGATTGTGTATGGTCGGCTTTAGGATTCATAGAACAGATAGAACATCGGCAGTGAGATGATTTGTTCATCCGACGAATGGCTGGAAAGTAACTTTGAACACGTCTCTGAATAGCCGCTTTTTGGCTTTTCATATAAAATCTAAAAATAATTTCATTAAGAAGAATTTACAGAACCGTATTGCACAACATTCCCCTCTTCTCATAGGAAGCTTCGATCGGATTAATATTTTTAGCCCCGACTGCGCTCAGCCCATTAGACTTCCTCTCTCTTTTTCCCTTGTAGAGTCTGGCGGGCCAAAAGGCCGCAATTCCCCTTTCAATGAAGCCAATTACAAACACCCCGCGAGCCGCATTCTGTTCCGTTTTTAATTAATCGGAAAGGACGGCTTTATAAATAGGAATCGCTTCGCTTCACCCTGAGCTGAGTGAGTCTGTTCTGCTCATTTAGTCGCCTCTTTCGATGGCAGCGGACAGAAACAAAGAGCTAAAAGTGGATCGCAAACGCAGCGGCGTTATCGCGCGACCGCAATAGCTTATTGTCCCTGTCGTCAGAAAACCGCTTGCGGTATGTGTGGCGTCTACGCGTTTATTTTTACCCCCAGCGTGTCTGCGGTGATGCAAGTAGATTGAGAACAAAGGACAATGAATGTGGATGGGGACTGGTTATAATTGGAGTAAGATGGAGTCCTATTTGAGGACGGCTTGCGTCGCGCTCGTCTCTGGTGCTTGAGGCAGCACAGAAAATATTTTTGGCTTCATCGTTATTGTAAATCATTGCGACTTTTGTTGTCATTTTTTAAATCTGTTGCTTCATTATATATACTGAAAATGTTTCCTTTCAGTAACTTTACCAGCTTGCAGGAATATATCCCTGACATGTCACATGATACAGCAACGGTATCGTTATTTTTTTATAAGAATCTTTTATCATTAAAGAGCAGCCCTTGAGCTCCAGCCAAGTTACTTTGCCTAGGCTGAGATGAGTCATCAGTTTGCTGCAGGCAGGAGGAAGCATTTCCTCAGTTTCCTTTTCCCCTGTGATCAGACTGTACACAAAGCAACAAGTTGACTAAACTGCAACCCCCTCTCCTTGTTCATGCTCACATATCCCTTTAGTACCATGACTTAAGAGGATGAGACAGGACAAGGGACTCCTTCTTCTCCATGTGCACATCTATGTGTCAGGGACCAGAGCACCTCCGGGTGGCACTGTGGAGCTGCAAACTGATCCTGCAGTTCCAGCGCTCGCCTGTAGGGGCTGCCAGCAATTAGTCGCCACCTGGTGCTGTACTGGGAGGCTATTTAACCTCTCCCTGCGGTGAGGCCTGTGCCACAGTATTGTTGCCATATCCTGTCACCAGTATCCTGTTTCTGCCTTGGACCCTGACTCTTGACCCTCCAGTATCCTGTTTCTGCCTTGGACCCTGACCCTCCAGTATCCTGTTTCTACCTTGGTCCCTGACTCCTGACCCTCCAGTATCCTATTTCTGCCTTGGACCCAGGCCCGGCGCTACAGCAATGCAAGTCAGGCGGCCGCCTGAGGGCGCTGCAGGGTGAGGGCGGAAAAAACAGGGCATTTTTCCAGTATCCTGTTTCTGCCTTGGACCCTGACTCTTGACCCTCCAGTATCCTGTTTCTGCCTTGGTCCCTGACTCCCGAATTGTACCCCTGAGTTCTCCCGATCTGTGGTTCCCGGCCCTTGCCGTTTGTATATAGGGTGGTTCTTTTTTGTTTCTTGCGGGTGGTGGTGGGATAGCCTGTGTTTATGTAGTTTGCTATTTCTATTAAAACTATTGTTTACAAAGATTGTTGTGGTATTTGCCTTGCTGTCACATATTCGGTTCACCTGTATAGGTACCTGCACGTGGTGTTGGGACACCCGTGCTCGGTATCGTCACACTATCACGATATCATGTCTGAAAGCAGGCAACTACTATTCTGCTCTCTTGTTAGGGCTAATACGCACCAGCCACAGTGCATTCCAGCCCGATTGGGGCCGGAACACACCGGATCGCATTCCGGCAGGCTCAGTTTGTTTTGGGGCGGGAGGGTGCGTGGCGGTGCATTGAAGTCAATGGCACCGAAGCCACGCCCTCCAGGCGATCGCCTGCACCCAAAGGCGTGAGTGCCTACATTCCGGTCCCGTGCAGTCAGAAAAAATGCTGCAAGACTTCAATGCACCGCCACGCCCCCTCCCGCTCCAAAACAAAGTGAGCCGACCAGAATGCGATCCAGTGCGTACTGGCCCCAATCATGCCGGAACGCACTGGGGCTGGTGTGAACTAGCCCTTAGAAACCCATAGTGCATTGGAAATACTTTGTTATGGGTGTGCACTTTATAATTAAATAACACAATGAAGGGAATTTATCACAACTGGAGCAGACAAAATCTGGAGCAGCTGTGCATGGTGACCAATCAGCCTCTCTCTTTCAATTTCAAATCTTAACTGAACAAACTGAAGAGAGAAGCTAATTGGTTGCACACACAGCTGCTCCAGATATTGTCTGCTCCAGGTTTGATAAATTCCACCCAATGACTCAACGAGGTTTCTCATTAGCGTAACTGCTATCTAGACTTGCTCAGTGCTCCTCGCCTGCTGGATGCAAATGGTAAATATCAAATGTTCACAGGCACTATTTTATATTTTCCTGGTTAAATCTTTACCAAAATATGGTTTTGTAGCACTAAATACCCCTGATAACAACAGAAAAAAATGAACAACAGCTGTTGAATTACCTGTTTGTATTTTCTGTAGCAGCGTTGAATGACGGCAGTAGCCACATCCTGTTGTTCTCTCAATGGGCGACCCTGGGTGGAAGGGATAAAAGACCTGAGTGAGTGGAGATAGGCGGATAGGCAAGATGACCCACATTACTATCCCTATCCCTAGCAGGGGATGATTGGAGAGGATGAGGAACAAGCGGTTTCAATGGTTGGATCGCTGGAGGGAATGAATGAATAAAATGGTTCTATGCAATAAACATTAGATACTTTTGGGAACAGTGTTGGGAAAATAAATACAAAATCCATGGATTTTGCGTTGCAAAGGATTTCTGTAGTCCAAATATTAAGTTCTCCAGAGATGGTTTATGCTTACTATTATAGACAAGTGTGAGTTTAACTAATTATAGCCCATATTTCAGATCACTGCTCTTCACATCTTGTTACAATACTCTTAAAGTGGAGCTATCTGCTACTTTAAAGTTTAGTGGGCCCTCTTCTTCCATACTGCTCCATAACGGAAAGTAATAATGGCGCCCAGAGGTACCATTCAGCAGTCTGGAGCTGGTTTCAGGTACAGTATCTGCAGGCCTGATGCTTTCTGGTCACAGCTTAGGCATGGGATGGCATCTTTGTGGGACAGAGTCACTAAATGGATGCGTAAACCGCCAATAAAGCCTCCAAGAGTCTCTGCTCCATAGCTGTGAAGCATCAGCCGCCTGGTATTCCAAGGATATCTGTACTTGCTAGAGGATAAGTATTTGAGAGGTGTTTTACGGCTTGGTCGGGAGCAGAAAGCAAAGAATAACTACAGTTAAAAGTAGGGTTTAAGGTAAGCTAATCATAGACACGAGATGGCAGTCACTTAATCTGGTCATTTCCAGTTGTATTGGGAGATTATATTTTGTCTATTAGTCCAATGTGTCTGTTGGGGTAAGTAAAAAGTATGTGGAGCCCCCCACAAAATTACTGACTTCAAGCATTTCCGCTGAAGGGAACTGTTGATTCTATAGAATTTTAGATAACGGTGTGTTTTTCAATCTTGGCAACAGTTTGCAAAGGCCATTTTCTGTTTCAGAATGACACCTGACCATCTCACCTACTATATGGCCACCCTTCCAAATGAATGAATTCAGGAGTTCCCAGTGAAGGGTACTGGTAATAGTACAGTATACAAAGACATTGTTAGACAATTGTGCTCTTCCAATGTTGTGGTAACAGTTTTGGGAAGACCCTTTTTCTGTTGCAGAATGACTGTGCTCCATGGTTTGTTCCATGAATGTGCTCCAATGGTTTGACCGATTTGGTGTAGAGGAACTTTAGTGGCTTGCACAAAGCCCTCATCTCAGTCCTACTGAGGATCTTTGGGATGAATTGGAATACTGATTGTGACCCAGGTCTTCTCACCCAACATCAGAACCTGATCCGACAAAGGTTCTTTTAGCTGAATGGGTAGAAATTCCCCCAAACCCATTTCAAATTCTTATGGAAATCACTCCTAAAAAGTGGAATTCATAATTATTATTTTTTTGTGGGGGGGCTATATGACCATGGAGAAGCAGACTAATTCTGGGCCTGCCAGTTAGTGTGCATGTATTTGAATCAAGACAGATTCAACTTTTATATTAGCAGGACTTGTTAAATACTTGGCCAGCCTGATTTACTTAACTTTTTAGGAGTGTTCTATGACAAAGCCCATGGTCTCACACCAGGCCCTTCCTAATGGGTCTCAGAAGATGTCCATAACACAGGAATCCAGATCATCGTCTTCTTATCTGGATCTGCCTAATCTGGCGATGGCCCTCTTGTCTATTGTTATCAAAAAACTGCTACAGAAAACCACCTGGACAGATTATCTTGAGGGAGCTAGTGATTGGCTATTGTTACCCCAAGATTGGACAGCATTAAAGTTGTTTGCTCATGCTTCTTGACTCCTCCTCCTTATACTTAAAGCTTGGCCAACATATCTGAGTGTTTATGTCCCAATTTGTTAAAAAAATCTGACAATCAGGTCAAGTCAAACATTCTTCTAATGTCTTTGCTTAATCAGGGCTTGACATGACTTTTAAGAAACTAGTTAAAGAAAAACAAAAACTTAGCCCACAAAACTGACATGACAAGACCCAAGCTCCAGAGTATAAAGATATAACATTGTAATATGTCATTTTGGTGCACCTTGTACTTTTGGAACACGGTCTGGACAAGTTTAGCAGCTTCGTAGAGTTCTCTCTGTTCGTGATCCGAAAGAGTCAACTGGGCAAATTCATTCTCAACCTTCTCATTGGTGGATGCGCTCAGGAATTCCGACCAATCAGCAGCAGTGGGCAGACTGGGTTTCTCAAAGGTGGTTTCATTCACGGGGGAGCAGGCAGGGCTTAAGCTGGTGTTCGAAGAAGGTGTCAGCGGTTCGCTGTAGAGCGACCTGTGTAGGACAAAATCATTATTGGTTAGTATTTTAGCAAAAGATTACCCCAAACTTGTTTTTACTTTTTGATAAAGCAGGTATGGATTTGCAGCCCTTTCAGGTGTGTATCAATGTCTGTGCCCTCTGGGGAGATTATTTCTCACTGTTTGTCCCAGTAACCATTGCTATTGGGAATAAAAGTGAGGGAAAACCTATAATTTGAAGTTGTCACTAGATCGGGAATAGAAGGGCAAACTTCCAATGGGGACACTTGTTGAGATGATAACTACCTAAAAGGGGATTTTCCTTACTTTGGAGTGATTTTCTATCACTTTCTGTTGTTCTTATACAACAGGAAGTGAAAGTAAATCTACTCAGTGGGACACAGATGACAAAAAAAACTGATAGGGGATTTAACCATTGCATACTCTATCCAAACCTAAAACGATTTTACATATACTTTAGGTAAACATGGACTATAAATTAAGATGGGCATCCATTGCCCAAATAATATAAAAGAAACATGGAAAGATATTTAAAGGTCCCAGCGCCTTGTCTCTAATTTCCCAAGAAAAATGGCATAAGGAACAGTAGCATTGAACAATGACTGGAGCATCTACATAGATATGCAATGGAGTTCACATTAATTTTTTATATAATGTTCCTCAAGAAAATAATTTGTTGAGCACCTATCTTTACCGAGCCATTTGGTGCAATACCAGTGTTGTGTATGGAATGGCGGGGACTGCTTTCATTAGGTGCTCATAGGTACTAGACCTTGAAGCTGACCTTCGTTGTGGACATAACACTGAAAGACAATGGTAGTAAGGAATATTGAGGAAGCTTTTGCTGTGCTTTTAGGTGCAAAGTTCAAGCTTTTCTATTGTCTTGTTTGAGCTCTTCACCGATACTAAATGCAGGTTACCTTGGCAGTGCTATGCAGTTGGGTTGAGTGAGGCTTACATGTAATGGCACTGGAGTTCTGAGGAGTTTCATGGAAAAGAGAGAAGGATCTTCCAAGAGAAAATTGAAGGAGGAAAATTACATAAGATGTGTTACCTGGTTCCTAGATTTTGTCTCCAAATATCAGTGTTCAGCTCCTTCTCTCTTTCTATCAGCTTCTCAGGACAGTATTATTGCTGGTTACATACAACTCTTTCACAACCACACCTTCCAGAATAGGCACCTTGAAGTGGAACTTTGGTTGGAATAAAGAATGCTAGGAGATAGTGGTCTTTTTTAACAGAGGAGAATTTACATCTCTTAAAAAAATTCCACTGTCTCCCAGCATATTTTTCTAACACATGGTACATGCACAGTGCTGTGCAAACCCCCAGCCCACTCCAGATGCCAAGAATGGAACTGTATGGACAATGCAACTCCTGCATGTATACGCAGTGATATGCTGTAACCAGGAACAACAGATCAAAAGTAATCTTGCTTTAGAACAAATTTTGGAGAGTATCAGCGCACTCTAACCCAACAGCCAATCCCAAATTCACTCTAATTGGCACACATTTAACAGTTTACTGAAGCTGACCAGTGGCTAGTTCTGAAAATTGGATGAATTACTCACCGGATCTGAGCAGCACTAGGTAAGTGATCAACATCAGCGAGGTAACTGGCCAGCCAGCTCATGGTAGTACTAAAAGCAGCAGTGTCTGCCCTCTCCACCAAGGGGGACTCCATGGGTACGAAATTCTCCCGCTTGATGCGGTCAGGCGTCGCTTCAATGATCTGTTCCGCCAAGTTCATCATGTTAACCTGGATGAAAGAAAGATGAAGTAGTACCAAGCATGGGCTTTATGGAAAGCAACTTATTTGTGTAGCATCCATGCGCCTCTAACTGCCAGGTACACACATTTGAATGTTGGCTTTCGTGTTTGGGTCTTCCTAGGAAAAAAAAAGCCAGTCTAGGCTCGGTCAAGGTATAGGGGGCCTTAACTGCAGGTCCATGACATGATCAAAGGGCTGCACATTGTATTCAGTACATGTAATGCTACATAGACTCTGAGCGACAGCAAACATAGGTGTACTTGGAAACCTGCTGCAGGAGACAGTCAAGGGCTGAAGACATGTTACTTGACATTGCCAGAGAATAGGTCACTGTCATTGCAGCTTATTTAAATATCAAAGTTCCTATGCCCACTATTTATAGTTGGTGTTAAGGGGCCACATAGCAGGTACCAAAGGGCTGCATGTGCCCCCTTTAGACCGTAGGCTGGGCACCATAGGTATAGACCACTCGTGTAATCCTGTTTAAAGTTTTACTTCCCACCTCCCTCAATGTTAGCAATTCGCACAATGGTGTACCCTGAGGAAGCATAAGGGGGCAGCTAAAGAGTAGCACCCATTTGGCATTTTTGGAATCTCCAGGTTTTGTTTGCTGTCTTCAATAAGAAGAACTCAAGGCCTGAAGTCAGGGCAAGTAAACAGCCTCTTGGTGTGAGTGGCAGCGGTTTACCTACTCTATCTTGTTAGAGTTATGAAGTATCGCTATGAATGGAGCTGGCATATAGAGCACATTCATCACTGTAGCTTGGCCGCTGTCTCAGAGGGTTCCGGAGATAATGAACTCCGGCGATCAATCTCCAGACGTTTGAACGAGGCCGCTGCCAGTTACAGGGGAATTTACTGCAAGGGCTGATCAAGCCGTGACAACTGCGAGCTCGACCTCTGCTGGACTCTACATGCTGAGCCACGACACCGCAAGACCGAACGAGCCCAGAGATTTTATGCCACCGGCCAAATGTCAGAAAAGAATAATACAGCAATAAAAAAAGGATTCTGGCCTAATTAAAAAAAAGTCGCATCAATGAAGAACCAATGCAATTAACACTTTTGCACACTTTCCCCTTATCCTCTACCACCTTGTGATTGGTTGTCTCAGCTGAAAGCCAAACTTAATGCAAACACATTAAGTCTAAAATAAATATTTATACTGATAAAAGGTAAAAATATGAAATATATAACCTTTCAACCCAATAACATTTAAACAAAGTAGCTTCCCTTTAAAGGAAACCTGTGCTGAGGGAAAGAGAGTGCTATTGCCGACCCTCTCCCCTAAATGTTAGTGGCTTGGCCTCCTTGTTGGTTATTTTGACAGCCAAATGGCAAGGAAAGCCAAAAAAGAGTCAGAACCCCCGATCTGCATACATGTTCTAGGTTACTCGCTCAAAGCTTTGAAGCCAATGGATAAGCATGAGAACCGGACAAATTGCACTTTCGAGGCAAGCAGTAAAAAACTACGGAAGAGCCCTGGGGCTATGCTAGGAAAAAAATACGAAACAATTCTGTGTTTAAAAGTCAGAATTCTGAGTTTGAGGGGGTGATTTACTAACCTAAACACACGCACGCACTAGGTGCGTGTGATTTTCACACAGCAAAACGTATTTATCAACCAAAAGTCTCTAAAAGCATATTTCCACTAATGCCATATATGGAAAAATCATGCACATGATGCATATATAATGCTGCTTCACAGTTTAGACAAAAATGGTTAGCTCATGCATTTACATTCCTGCATTCATCAACGCAAGCAACACAACATAGAGCTAATTTACACAACATCACCTTGCAAATTCATGCAGGGCTTTGCACAACACACCTGCTGGGTGTGTACACACTACAAAGGTGTTTAGATTCCACCCATAGATCATGCTAGGAGGGAACACACTACAGAGGTGTATACATGTTCGTGGTGTGTTTATAAGGTTAGTAAATCAACCGCCATGTCATGTCTCCTCTGGGACAGGAAATAAAGGGAAATCGCCCTAATTGTATAGAAGCAGCAAAAAGTAACTTGGCAAAGGTTTTAACCTTTTCATACACAACAAAAAAAAGAGAATTGGGGCCACGCATACACTTTAAGGTACAATTATAAACTGTTTTAACCCTTTCATGACCACAGGTCATTGAAGCCAGATGCTCAGGACAAATTGAGCAGCATTAAACAGGAACTTTATCCACCAATTTAATGTCTCCCAAATCAGTTACTTTTAAGTGTGCTCATTGCAGCTTTCAACTGAACTTCCAAGCCCTCAAATGACTGGTGTCATAGCTGATCACATGTGCAGATGATTGGTGTCATAACTGATCACATGTGCAGAACATTGGCAACTGCAATCCAAATAGAGCCCAACCTTCCTTGGTTGTAAGGTATAGGACCTCACCTTTCTCCCCCACATCCAATCACTATCCAAATCATGCCGCCTCCACCTTCGTAACATCTCCAAAATACGCTCCTTCCTCACCAAAGATACCACAAAATTGCTCATCCACTCACTTGTTATCACTCGTCTTGACTATTGCAACTCCCTCCTCATTGGCCTACCTCTATCCCCCCTTCAGTCTATCATGAATGCAGCTGCTAGGCTCATCCACCTAACAAACCGCTCAGTGTCTGCAACCCCCCTCTGTCAATCCCTACACTGGCTTCCTATAGCCCAAAGGATAAAATTCAAAATATTAACAACCGCGTACAAAGCCATCCACAACTCTGGCCCCGGCTATATCTCCAACCTGGTCTCAAAGTATTACCCTAACCGTCCCCTCCGCTCTTCACAAGACCTCCTGCTTTCCAGCTCCGTCATCAACTCCTCCCATGCTCGCCTCCAGGACTTCACTAGAGTGTCTCCCATTCTATGGAACTCTCTACCCCAACCTGTCCGTCTATCTCCCACACTGACTGCCTTTAGGCGATCCCTTAAGACTCATCTCTTCAGGGAAGCCTATCCCACCTCAACCTAACCACTGAACAATCACGTTCTCAAACAATCATCCCCGCACAGCTATCTCCTCATGTATCACTTGCCCCTCCCTTTTAGATTGTAAGCCCTCACGGGCAGGGCCCTCCTTACCATCTTGTCTTAAATTGTATTGTGACTGTAATGTCTTCCTTATATTGTAAAGCGCTGTGCAAACTATTGGCGCTATATAAATCCTGTATAATAATAATAATAATAGGAGGTTGTAGTAACTTTTTAACATGCATTGGTTAATACGAGCAATTTGCACACCTAAATAATATATATGTATATTTTATAAGAACATAGATGGCAGACAAATGCATCCAAATGTGTAAGAAATTTTTTTTTTCTTTTGTTTTGTTTTTAATACTGAAGCTGTATCTGACAATTATGGTATTAATCAGCAGCACCCTGCCATCTTCAGGCTGCAGTGAGATCTGCAGGCTACAGGCTTATTTTGTAAATGCTATGAGTAGTTTTACCTGGAGGTCATCCATGTGTTGCAAGCAGTCTTCGTTCTCCATGTTCTCCCGGTAGGATAGGAGGTCAGCGTCTACCATTTCTCGCTCTGACATCATCAAAACGTTCATCTGCTCGCTCCGACGCAGCCTATGGCCCACAACGTCCTTCCCATGCCCTGTGACCTTTGCGCTTCCCATTACCTGTGCCGCAGAAACACCCAGGTAGAGGTCTTTGGGGGTCCACTTCGAAGCTTTGTAGACAGAGGCTTCTGCGGCGCGCTGCGGCACTTCCCTGGGAAAGTGGCACATTTCCTCGCTGTGGGTGGTCTCTGACAGAAGCTGCTTGGCTCCGGAGCTCTGCTTTCTGGAAGATGGCTGCTCCAGGCTAAGCGCCGCCGCCATCACCTTCTCCTGGCGGGCCTGAAAATACTCAGGGTTTAATTTGTGTTTTTTAGCAGCAGGGTAATCTTTTGGGTTCTCACTACTGTAGTAATTGGAGGGCTCGGATCTTGGTCTTCTTAATTCTGCAAGACATGATATAGTAATATAAAGATGTGGCGCTGATAGCAAAGGGAGCAAAGCAGGTAAAGTGCAGGACATAAATACAGGCGATGCAGAATCTACAATGTTCCCGAGAGCTAAGCTGTTTCTGGGCCACCATCATGCTCCTCCCCTTTATATACTGCTGTTTAGTCACATTATATTCTGTACAGCAGACGGTCTATCTATCTATCTATCTATCTATCTATCTATCTATCTATCTATCTATCTATCTTATCTATCAATCTATCTTATCTATCTCCGTCTATCTATCTATCTATCTATCTATCTATCTGTCTGTCTGTCTGTCTGTCTGTCTGTCTGTCTGTCTGTCTGTCTATCTATCTATCTATCTATCTATCTATCTATCTTATCTATCAATCTATCTTATCTATCTCCGTCTATCTATCTATCTATCTATCTATCTGTCTGTCTGTCTGTCTGTCTGTCTGTCTGTCTGTCTGTCTGTCTGTCTGTCTGTCTGTCTGTCTGTCTGTCTGTCTGTCTGTCTGTCTATCAATCAATCTATCTATCTATCCATCCCATATCTATCTATCTATCTATCTATCTATCTATCTATCTATCCCATATCTATCTATCTATCTATCTATCTATCTATCTATCTATCTATCTATACATCCCATATCTATCTATCTATCTATCTATCTATCTATCTATCTATCTATCTATCTATCTATCTATCTATCTATCTATCTATCTATCTACGGTATCTATCTATCTATCTATCTATCTATCTATCTATCTATCTATCTCTTTATCTATCATTAGGGGGTCATATGAGGACACAGCAATCTCCTCTAGCCGTTACACAATTATTTTGTTGACGTGGAATAAACAGACCAGTTAAGTGCTGTGTGGCAATTAAAGTTGGAATCCTCGAGAGAAGCTGTTTTTCCCCAAGATAATAGCTTTCTAATTCTTCATTTACATTTCACTATGACCTATAAAAATAATGTTCTAAACCACTGGACACTGTATTGTAAATGTTCTATTGACCACAATAGAGAAGCCTGTTCAATATTTGCTTGTCAGGTCCCCCTTAGCTACGGCAGAACAATCCCAGCATGCCCTGCTTTCGGTAGCCCTAGTACTAATGGCCCCTTAAAGATGACCTAAACTGGAAATTGAGGTCCACCAGGATTGGCTGGAATTACGAATGGGAGAATAGGGGTGTAGGAATACACCCGGCACCTGTCAGCTTGTAGAAAGCAGGTTCTGAGGAGCTCCTATTCTGAGTCCCGTGTTCTGAAGCCCATAGGTTAAATTACATGACCTGCAACAATTCTGCAGTGTTGTCCTCAAGGTTGGCCAAGTCTTCCTCCTGAAGACTCTGCTTATCGTAGTACACTTCTATCACATCTTCAGGCCAGGTGAACCCCAACTGGTATGGAACACCTGCTTGTTACAGCTTACATGCACGTTGGTGATGACTTCCATATCCCTGTCTTCCCTCTCTAATGACTTCCTTTAGGATTAAAGTTGACCCAAGGTTCAATGAAGGTTCAATGGTACGAGACGCTTTTCCCATAATTCTGCTCTCTCCTACAAAATTGAACCCTATAAACATTTATATGGCCAACCTTGGATCTATCCTTAGATATAGTTCAGATTTTCCTCACATCACCTCCTCCACCTGGCAGTCTGAGATGCTACAAATCTCAACCACTTCCTGCAGATTTGTAGCAATCATTTGAGATCAATTACTGATAGACACACTATGTAGGCTGAACCTGATGGACCTATCTGTGTCTTTATCCAACCTCACCTACTATGTAACTACAAACTATGTGAGATAACACCCTTATAGCATATGAATAAGGTTCTCTGGCCTATAAGTGCTCCTCAAATCCCTTGAAGGCAACGTTGGTGCAGGAGAAAAGATATTCATCCACAATTGCCAGGGTAAAGTCATCTACCCACCCATACACAAGAAGGGGGTGGCGAGGAGTCATTGAAAGTAAGTCACATGACAGTTGTTGGATTTTTACCTGTGTTGACATTTGATATAACTGTCACTCCCTTCTGAGACTCTTGGGGGTTGATCGCCTCGCTCTGCCATTGGCTTAGCCAGCTTTCTGCATTGGGGTCTGAGCTAGGAGAGCACTGAATCCGAGGGTTGTGCCCCAGCTGGGACTGCTCCTCCCTCTGTAGTTGCTCCAGGCACTCCGCCAGTTTCACGTGTCCCCGGGAACGTGCGATAGATAGAGGAAGCCGGCCGAGAGAGTCAGGAATGGAGAGAGCCCGCCGATCCCATTTATACAGCACTACGGCGGCCTCGGTGTGACCCAAAGCGCAGGCCCACATCTGCAAAGAGAAAGAAAACGGTTATGGTCTAGGGACCGAGGTGGTGCAGAATGTAATTTGTGCAAGTTTGGGTTAAATGTACTGAAAAACTGTTATGATTATGCTGTGTGATGCACAAGCAGTCATAACCTTTAAAGCTGAACTCCGGGATATGCAAATATTATCCTTATACAGAGTCATGTGTAACTTTCCTTAAATCTTGGTGAGTTTTGTGTATTTCTTCAACATATGTGCAGTAATCCAGTGTGACACTTGGAGCTTCCTGTAATAAAGACAGGTCACTGCTACTCTCTCTCCTTGTGCAGGGTGACTGGTCTTGTCTCCGCCCCCTCCTGTAATAAAGACTGGCCACTGCTGCTCTCTCTCCCTGTGCAGTATGACTGGTCTTGTCTCCGCCCCCTCCTGTAATAAAGACCGGTCACTGCTACTCTCTCTCCTTGTGCAGTATGACTGGTCTTGTCTCTGCCCCCTCCTGTAATAAAGACCGGTCACGTCTGCTCTCTCTCCTTGTGCAGGGTGACTAGTCTTGTCTCCACCCCTTCCGGGAATAAAGACCGCTCACTGCTGCTCTCTCTCCTTGTGCAGGGTGACTGGTCTTGTCTCCGCCCCCTCCTGCAGTTTCCTGTAGTGGGTGGGGCCTGAAGGGCATTTGGTGCCCACAAAGTGGATCTATATCCTTTGTGGCTATTGATAAATATATTTAATTGAAAGTTTTTGTGCCCGGAGTTCAGCTTTAACTACAGAGAGTGGAGAGAAGATGAATGTGCCTGTGCCCTGTGCCCATGAGATTTGGGGGCCGTCTATGATAGTTCTTCATATTTACCAACCTTGTGCTCATTTAACAGTCATATACAGAATAATACAGCTATGGGCCAAATAAGCAACTGCGTTCTCTGAAAGCCAATATTCACCATTCAGAGGTCATGCTCTTCCACACTCCATGACATATGACACTGTTTCAGATGCAGATTCACAGCTACAGTGAATTTCAGGTTTACAGCATGCAAGGTGCCGAGCTCTCAGTCTTACCAGAGGAGTGCATGAGAAATGATCAACATTTAAAGGATCCACCTCTAATTCCAGGTCAATGCTGTCAGCATGCTTTGTCCTAGAAATGAAGAAAAACACAGGGTATCACATAGGTGTGCGGTGCACAGCCACGCCGGTTCAAAGTCCAGACAAGCATAGAGAAGGGCTAGATCCTCTATAAGGTTTTTATTGTTTGTGTACCCATAGGGGAGAATTACCCTCACTTCCTGTGTGGTCACCAAGACAGGAAGCAAGCAGAAGCTCTCCACTAAGGGGCACAGTCAATAATAATACATTTATTTTTTAATAGAGTGTTTAAGGGTGAGAATATACAGTATCTGTATTGCTGTCTCTGCCCCTATTGGAGAGATATTCTCCCTTCGTTTGTGGTCACCAGGACAGGAAGTGAGCAAACCCCCTCCAACAGGAAGAGTGGGTAAGGGTGAGAACATCTCTGTATTTCTTTCTCTGTCCCTATTGGAGAGATACTTTCCCTTCCTCTGTGGTCACCAGGGAGGTTCTCATCCTTCCCGGCTCTATTCGAAAGCAAAAATTTGGTTTTCCCCGGAGTTCCCCTTCAACAGTCCAACCCAGGAGTGGCGCAGAGACAGAGCAGACGTCTTTTTCCGGAGGGCCGGCTGATTCTTTAATAATATCCAGAGCCGCGTATTAAATATGTACGAGCCCGACAGGAGAATGAGAATGGCAAATATTTTCCCCGCAAGAGTTTCATAAGAGTGAAAATATCGGTAATGGACCTCCGGACAGACGTTGTATTTCCCCCGGGGGACGGAGAGGAGTATCGGATCTAATTATAGGATCTCCTTCTCCTGCAGAACAAATAACCTGGTAATAATCTCAGACCCCTCCGATGGTGCCAGCAGGAGGGTCCTTCTCCTTCCACCTCTAATGCTGGGGCAGAGCAGATTCTGACCTCTCCTATCCTCCTTAAATCTCAACTCTGACCTCTCCTCTCCTCCTTAAATCTCAACTCCGACCTCTCCTCCTAAATCTGAACTCTGACATCTCCTCCTTAAATCTGAACTCTGACCTCTCCTCCTTAAGCTGAACTCTGACCTCTCCTCCTTAAATCTAAACTCTGGCCCCTCCTCTTTAAATCTGAACTCCGACCTCTCCTCTCCTACTTAAATCTGAACTCCGACCTCTCCTCTTCTCCTTAAATCTGAACTTCGACCTCTCCTCCTTAAATCTGAACTCCGACCTCTCCTCTCCTCCCTAAATCTGAACACCGACCTCTCCTCCTCAAATCTGAACTCCGGCCTCTCCTCCTCAAATCTGAACTCCGGCCTCTCCTCTCCCCCTTAAATCTGAACTCCGACCTCTCCTCTCCTCCCTAAATCTGAACTCCGACCTCTCCTCTCCTCCCTAAATCTGAACACCGACCTCTCCTCCTCAAATCTGAACTCCGTCCTCTCCTCTCCCCCTTAAATCTGAACTCCGACCTCTCCTCTCCTCCTCAAATCTGAACTCAGACCTCTCCTCTCCTCCTTAAATCTGAACTCCGACCTCTCCTCTCCTCCTCAAATCTGAACTCAGACCTCTCCTCTCCTCCTTAAATCTGAACTCTAACCTCTCCTCCTTAGATCTGAATCCCAACCTCTCCTCCTTAAATCTGAACTCCGACCTCTCCTCCCCAAATTTGAACTCCGACCTTTCCTCTCTTCCTTTAAAGGAGAACTATGAGGTGAGTGCTTTTCACTCACCTTGGATCCGCTCCGGCTGCAGCGTCTCAGTATACCGCGAGCTACGGCTTGCGGTATACTGAGCTTAGGGTAACGGGAGGATGCTAGTTTGTGTCCTCCCGTTACCCTAAGGAGAACTATGGGGAAAAACACTGACCCCATAGTTCTCCTTTAATCTGAACGCCTAGTCCTATGTCTGTGCATGCATTCCCTTCTGTGTCCCATCGGGGGGGCCCGTGACATTTACCTCCATTTGATGAGGGTCTGGATGAGGGTGGCGTAGCCTTGTGCAGCGGCGAGGTGAAGCAGCGTCATTCCTCGGAAGGTCTTGGAATGGATCAGGTGCTTGGATTTTGCCCAGCATGCTTTGCTCATCATCTTTTCGCACACGACCACCACCCGACTCTCGAAGCAGCTTCCCATAGAACCAGCACCGGTGGCACACTGCAGTGAGAGAGAGAGAGAGGACACGCAACATTTACCTCCATGATCACATGTACAGAGAGCGTGCAGTGGCTACTTCCTGCTAGACGAATGGGCTGGAAAGCTGTTTACTGTGTCTGTAAGAAAGTCTAATGCTACATAAAAAGCCGGGTCTGGAACCAAAGCCTGATAATGCTAACATACAGCGCCTACAGGTTCTGGACAGAAAACTAGCCATTGCCCACAATGCGGGACTATGAGACACCAACCGGCACTACTACTTCTTAGCTAAATTTTTAATT